ACTATAGGTAAGATGCCATCAGGGCCCTGTGATTTATTTTGAGTTTAGCTAGGCTTAGTATCACATCAACCTCAGTTATACATATATTGGTCATAGGCTATGCTGTATTCATACTAATTGGTGGTAAGTTACTTGTGTTCTCTACTGTGAAAACCCATGAAAAATAATCATTAAACTCATTTACTATATCAATTTCATTTTCAATTATAAGGCCCTTACTATGCTGCAAATTAGTGATTTCAGCTTTTAGAGCTCTTTTGGAGTTAAAATTTTGGAAGAAACTTTTATTGTCATCCTTAGCCTCCAATGCAATTTTTCTTTCTACATCCCTCTTGGACAGTCTGTTATTTTTTAACTCTACCTGTAGACTTAGATACTCCTGCTTAATTTTGAAATAATTAGTTATTTTCCAGTTGTGGAACAGAGCCCTTTTCCTCCTGACTTTATTCTTAATTTCCTTAGTAAACCACCTTGGTTGTCAATTTCTATATTTATATTTGCTGGAAACAGGTATGAAGTCCTCTTGCACTTGCAGCAATGTGCTTTTAAAAAATTCCCATGCCTCTTCAACTGTTTTGCTATTTAACTCCGTCCAGTTTACAGTTTCTAGTTTCCGTCTCATACCATTAAAGTTAGCCTTCTGGAAAAACGATTCAGTTGTTCACATATATGGGAAGTGAAAAACATTTGTGCAGGTTAAGTGTAGAGTAACAGAAGTGCTATGTCCTGACATGCTGTCTGTGGATTGGCGTTCACCCCCTGGTGGGTCTTCCCTGTTTTCTCCCCATGCAGTTGTTTATCACCACGGGAACAGCGCCACGGGTGGACATTACACAGCGGATGTCTTCCACATCGGCCTGAGCGGCTGGCTGCGCATCGACGACCAGCTGGTCAAGGTGATCAGCCAGCAGCAGGTGGTGAAGCAGGCTGCAGAGCGCACCGCTTACCTGCTCTACTACCGTCGTCTCGACCTACTGTAGAGCCGCGCCCTCAGCCTCCTCCTCCACCTCTTCCTCCTCCACTCCACGTTTTCCTAGTAAACCAGCTTTCTGATCTGTCTTGGCGAGAAAAATGAGACTCTTCCGGGAAAAGCTGCAGATGCTCTCTTCGCTGTGTGTGGCGCTGTTTGATTTAATGTAGGTTGTTGGAAGAAGGGCAGCCAGAGCGATGCTGGGGGTTGACTTCGAATCTCTTCGGATCTTAAAATCGAATCTCATTTTCTAAAACGCCGGCCTCCTCTGGATGGCAGCTTCACCAGAGCCCTGTTCCCGGTTAGGCTGAGCCATGCTTCTGTTCCGGTTACTGGGAAGAACTTGGGCCTTTTTGTCTACCTTGTTTTTCCAAGGACTCTTTTGCCTTCTAGTAGGTCGGTCTGAATATGCAGCTTTTAACTTTTTTCCGCAGGGGCCTCGGCACCAGCAAATGGAAACGTGTTTTTTGGTTTGAGTCCCGTGTCGGGAGGCTTCCCATTCTCACTCCCTCCTGATTTGTCTCTGCTCACCTTCCCGGCGCTTCTAAACCTAAGTAATGTTCGAGCCATTCGAATGACGAGGGCCCGAAAAAACGACTACTTTTGAGAGGATCCCTGGCGGTTTCTGGGTGTAGAGTCAAAATAAAGAATTTTAAACTAACTTGCTTTAGGGTTTGAATAAAGATATGCACGTAAAATTTGGGGGTGGGGGGAGGAATTGGGAACATATCGATGTGCAGATCCATTTTAAAGTGATAAATAAGCAATTGTGTGATGGTCACTTTATACTGCTTACTGGGGAGTGTACATGATGATGATATTTTTCGATGTTTTTTTCCTGCGTACATGCTGGAGAAATCCAACGAAGACTGGCAAGTACTCTTTACAGATGTCTACCTTTGGTTGACTACAGCATTTCTCCTGCGCCATCTCGTCAACTTACTGTGCCGTTTTGGAAGATTTTCCTTCAGTCGCTTCCAGGAATTTAAGAGACTTAACCCCCTCCCCCACAGTGTCGACCTGACACCCCCCTCCCCCCGCCCCCCCTCCTTTCTCAGTCCTCCACACTGCGGGCGTGTACTCCGCAAAGCGGACGCGGCAGGTTCGAGGACTGGGTCTGCTTTGAGTAGTCGTTTAGCTGAAGGGGGCGGGGACGTACCTGACTTCCCCTCTGGAGACCTTAGACGCCCTGTGGTAATTGCACACTAAACGATACAAGTGGGATTATCCACAATCTTGCTTTAGTCATTTGGTTAAATTGGACTTTAGTTAAAATTTGTTTGACACTTGTGTGTTAATTTTTGACTATGAATATATATATATACATATATATTTTTCTGACATTGTTCTTGGATCCAAAGTGGTATAATTTTCCCACAGGGCGGCAGAACTGGAAATAAAGTTGTATAAATTACCACCCCTTTGGCTGACCGTATTTGATGCACCTTATTCCAAGACTTTGTACTTAACTCTTAGCGTTCGAATGGAAATGCGGTGAGTTGACTGTATCTGCACTGTGGTTCTGGGGTAAGAGAAAGTGCATCACTAACCGACTGCCTGTAAGCTGTTTACTAATTGTTTATGTTCCTGGTTTTTTTCGGTTTTATGTCGAGGTGTTTCTAAATTCACCTGATTGGACGTGCATACACGGATACGCATTGTGTTCAGTTGGGCATCAAACTAGATCATGCCTGTTAAGAATTTATAATGTAGGGTAACGTGACAAGGCAAGAGGCTGGAAAATATACATTATGTATAAAGTAACAAATCTAAGCTCTCAGTTAAAGGCAAGCTTTCTATTAATACATTACTAATTAAAATTATATACTTCAGTCATCAAAATGGTGAAATTCATTCACAATGGAAAGCAGAAGCTTAATACACCTGTGATCCCCAGTCCGCAATACCAGGCTCCCACTTCTATCTTACTGCTGTATGGGAAGAGTTATCCAGGTTACTCTAATTCGACGGGTGTCTACCGTTATGTTGATGATGCTAATCGTGCGGTGGTGTTAAGCTGTTTTTTTCTTCCCCCCCTGCTGATGTCACGGTGCCTCTAAACGCACACGGCAAATGCAGTCAGTCCGAAGCGGATCCCCATCCGCTTCTCTTAACAGGTGTGCCCTCACAATTATGTAACGTGATTACTTTCTAACGATGTGGTATTAGCGGTGACCTCAGATTGGAACACTTAACACTGCTCACTCTCGCGTTCTGTTACAGTATTTCTGCTTTACAATGCGATATGTATTCGGTGTGAAGGCTATAGCCAGGAAATGTTTGTGAGCAGCAATTTTTCTGTGAAAACACGACTGTGAGAGGTGGCTCGATTGTCCTGCTGTCACAAATTAAATGGCTTAGTCTCGCTTGGCTACCCGTCAGTGTTTCTTGCCTTTGCACATTCGTTCTGTCTTAGCGGGAAAATTAAAGTTCTTCCTTCACATTATAGCCACAGTCTACTGTTTTCAGCCATACCTTTTTCATGTCTGAGGAGGTTATGCCAGAAAGTTTTGAAAATTCATAAATATTTCATGATTTACATGTATTATAAAATATTTCTTAATGCTCACATTTCTAATGTTTTAGGGCATTATTGGTTTTCCCAAGCCTGACTCCCAGACCAGGGGGGTATTCCATGAAGGACGATTTCTTGCTTAGCCAGATAACTTCTTGGATTTAAGGTAGTCTGGGCTAAATGGACTTCATTTTCATTCCCCTACATTTATCCCAGACTACCTTAAATCCGACAAGTTATCCGGCTAAGCATGAAATCCTGCTCCGTGGAACAGCCCCCAGAACACTTCCTACTTTTACACCTATCACTTAAGTTATTTCTTTTTTCTGTGAAGATGCCTCTGTTTATAATCGCCCTCTATTCCTGGCTGCCATTGATGTAAATGCTGAAGTTCTGTTTGCTTCTGCTCGATTGCATTTGGAGTCCTTCCCAGGCCCAGCTGCCTTAAAGAGCTTACATAGCATGTGTCCCCTTGTTATTTATATGGTTACACAGCATGTAAGTGCAGCTTAGTGATGTTAATGAATATGATTAATGTTGTCTTTCCATCTTGAATGAGATCATTACTGTCTCAATGGCCTGTTGCTTTGTGAAAATGAAGTTTTGGATTACTCTGCACTGTTGGCCACTGTTTGGCTTAACCCCATGGTAACTGCTAACTGACCAGCAGGAAGATAATTTAACCATGGGGGTGTTAGCCCCATGTCTGTAGCTCTGTAGCCTCACTCCCAGCTATATTATGAGTCTCGTGGTGTTGCAGCTGCTTTTGTGGACGCTGGGTCACTATCCCCCATGATAGCCAATCTAGCAGCTCTTCTTGTGTGGACACTGTAATAGTTTTCCTCTGCAGACACTTCACACAGCGTGCACACACTCCCATCAAAAGAATGTTTGCCCACTCGCTCAGCAGTATGCAGGTGTTGGTAGCAGCAGTCCGTTATTGCTAAGGATGTGACTTTGGGGTTATTCCTCACACTGCTATGCCAAGAATCTTTTTCTGCTTCACGAAGGTAAACGGCACAGTGCAGCTTTTGCGTGCTGCCAAGGCAAGGGCCATCCTGAAAGGCCTCCCTGTCGCCTTGGCATCACTGACCAACACCATGAGTTATTGGTCTCTGCTGGAAAGCCACATAGGGGAAGGAGCCACGCTAAGTAATGCTGCCGGCTTCGCGATGTGATGCCGATTATGCCGAGACATTTAGCAGCACTGCTACGTGAACTGCCTTCGTAGATGTGCAGGTCCACTGATTGGTCCTAGTCTGGTCTTGACAGTGACAATGGGTTTCACATTCTCTGTTTTTCTTCAAGAAAACTTTCATCAGAAGACTGCCAAACCATACCTGGGTGGGAGGCTGGGCATGTGTTTCTTACTTCCCCTCCTCCTTTCTTCATAAGGGTCTCCTTTCCATGGAAGGTACTTTCTGCTTCAGTTGCCAGGAAGCAAGGAGTTTAGCCTCATATGCTTGGAAGATATTTACCACGGCAGACAGGAAAGTCTTGAAAGCTCAAGGTCAGGTTCTGTGCAACTTTGTTGCTAAGGTAAGATGTGCTCTTGAGCTGGTTTAATTATGGTCAGGGCAATTTTACTGTGGTTTGTCATAAATAAACCAAAAACGTCTATGATTCAGTAATTATTCAACAGTCTTTTTAGTTTTAATAGTTAAATACAATACTTGATGACGAAAGAAGGAAAAGACGGAGTAGGACTGGAGGTCCATGCTGCTAAATGAATGATACATTCACAATTAGGTGCATGCACTCCTTTGATCGGGGTTCCCCAGCTCCAGTCCTGGAGGGCCAGAACGCAACTGTTTGCAGATTTTCCTGCTCAAACACATCTTAGTCAGCTAATTATCAGGTTGTGCAAGTGTATTTAAACATGAAGGTTTACAAACTGTTGGATTGTAGCCCTCCAGGACCAGAATTTGTGACCCCTGCATTATATCAATGTATGGAATACTTTCTGCAGAGATTTTGGTATGAATGTTCAGATGAGTGTGTGAATTGCCCTCAGTGGATGAGGTGCACATTTTCCTTAGGTGAACATACGTGCTTTTCAGAGAGTGAGGAACATGTTCTCCCTAGATGAATGTATGAAACGCCTTCCACAGAGAGAGCTCTGTTCTCTCCTCAGCTGAACATTTGAACATTGAACATTTGTCTAAAACGTGCCTTTTCATGTATTACTTTCAGTTGATGCAAAGATCACATCCAAGTCATTTCCCATTAAATTATTTATATTTATTGTTGGGTTCAGCTGACCCTGGAATTTCTTAAACATAAGGGAATTGCTTGAGTTTTTTTGATTCTTAGAATGAAAGCCCATGATTCCAGGGCCTTGGTCACTGGGGTTGAGCTTGTTGCTTTAGCCTGGCCAGCCCTTGGGGGTGTCTGTCATGTCAGTATAAAATTCATAACAAAGATGAGAAGGCAAGATCTGTTAGCCCAAAGGAAAGAGAGAAAGTTGGTCCAGGCCTGCTTGCGGCTGGCACAGCCCGCGTGGTTGGCATAGCGACAGCAGGTAGTCACAAGCCTAGGTGTCAGACAGTGGATCCATCCCACAGGGCAGGGTAAACATCACTCTGTACTGTCCTGGTTGCTCCCAGACTCCAGAGCTGTTCTACTTGGCGTCTCTATGCCAATGGGCCTGGGAAGGAGGTGGTGGACTGGCAGCGTATCCTGTGAGATGTGCCTTCTACACATGCTTTGCCAGTCAGGATGAAAAGTTGACTCAAGCTTGGAATGGAAATTCCCAACTTTGATCTGTAAACTGTACAGTAGTTTTTAAAACACTCTACAGTATGTTGGATTTGTTTTCACTGCATTCTTAAGCTGTTGGTTGAACTTAAAATGTGGTTGGGTACCTTTTATCCATTGTTTATCAAATGCATGTAATTGTAATTTAACAAGGAACATACTTTCTAAACCTGTATTAGGGACCTGTTCAGTGGTGGAGATTTCAGGTCCAGAGAGTACACATCCAGACCAAGATTTTTGTTTCAACCAACCAGTTGAGTATAAAGAGTCAGTCACAGAGTACTCAACTGGTTGGTTGAAACAAGATCTTAGTCTGGATGTGTACTCTCTGGACCTGAAATCTCTACCTCTGGACCTGTTGTTTGCTAAACCCATGATATTGTAGTATTATACAGTGACATGGTTGTTTACTTCTTCAAAGCAGCATGTTGTTTTAAATTAAGTCGGTTCTGTGAGTTTGGGGGCATCAAGAGTATGTTACCCTTCAGATCATTACACAGGAGCTGAGGAGTTGAACATAAACTGAGGAACTCTGCAGACCAAGCAAAAAATGAACTTCACAGCTGTGTATTCAGTTACTACCACTGCCCTTGCTTTACTGATCTTGACCGCCCAAGATGGACATGGAGATGGTCTCTTTCTGCCGAACTCCCCGGAGCTGAAGGATCTGCTGGATCGGTACCAAAATGGGTACCGGAACCGCACTAAGGATGCAAGTCTAAGCAGGGGCCGACGGTCCATCCTGTGGTCTGATAGGGAGGATATCCTCAAACTTCATAATAAACTACGAGGAGGCGTGTATCCTTCTGCTTCTAACATGGAGCCAATGGTAAGAGTGGGCAGGACCTCATTGGGTTGTGTCGAGAGATGGGCCCAACTAATGTTTCCTTTGACAACAACGGCATGTTGTGTGCTATAGTAGCTAAATTATTCTCTCTCCGATATTCTCTAATGTAACTTACTGTGTAGTTGAAGGTTCTGATGGTCTGGTATTTATGCAAAGGTATGGGATGATGAACTGGAGCGGTCAGCCTCTCATTGGGCTCGGCAGTGTATATGGGAGCATGGGCCTCAGGACTTGCTTCCGTCCATTGGCCAGAACCTTGCTGTCCACTGGGGCAGGTGAGAGAATAAGCATTGTGGAAGGCACCACAGTCCCATCATTGAAGACATCACTGGGATGCTTTTGGTACACTGAAGCATGTGAACACACACAGTTCACATTAGAGACTGTTCACTAAAACATATTAATTTGTTTTGATTTCATTTTCACAAAATCAGCATTCATTACAATGCACACTTGGTCAATGGGCTGGTTGTGATCATGAATGGATCCCTAAATAATGAAAAGTGTCTCTCGATTATCCAATCCAGACCAAGATTTTGTTTTAATCAACCAGTTGAGCATAAGGAGTCACAATCACAGAGTACTCAACTGGTTGGTTGGAACAAAATCTTGTTCTGGATTAGTACTTTCTGAACCTGAACTTTCTACCGCTGGTTTGATTCATGTTGACAAGAAGGCAGCTGAGTAATGTGATCACACATCAGCAGCAAGGGGTTCAGAAAAGGTTGAATCCCTGCTCTCATCATTAATGCTTCTCTTTAGTTAGCTTTTGTTCTTAGCTCCCAAAATCACATGGAAAATTGTTAGACCTTTTGGCTCATTTTCAAACAGACTTTGATAAATGATTTTATTCTCGATGGTTTTCTGAGCTATTAACTCTTTGCAGTATGACTGACATAGATTCCCTGAGCTGTCATTGGGTCTTTCTGTTGCAGTTTTCAGTCACCTGCTTTCCATGTTCAGGCCTGGTACGATGAGGTCAGGGACTACACATACCCCTACCCACATGAGTGCCGACCCTTTTGCCCTGAACGATGCTCTGGGCCTATGTGTACTCACTACACCCAGGTGAGTGTTCAACAACACAGAAATGCTACTGTATCTGCTAGTTATTCATTTTCATCTTAGAGTACCCTCTTTGATGGGCTGTGAGTAGTGTGTGTAACATTTAAGTAGAACCAATACACACAACAAAACTGCTTTCATGTATAATGTATTTAGAGCCGCTTTGGAGTTTATTCAGCTTGTGTAACTTCCGTATTAATAACTACAAAATCTAAGTGAATTAGAGTCTCCCAGCATGGATGAAGTGGTGGGTCAGCATGTCTCAACTAAGCAGAGAAAGAGGAATGGATAGAGAAAGAATACAAGAGTTCCTTGTATTTTGTGGTCACTGTTCCCCCTTGTTCTGCCCCTAAATCCATGACCATCACAAGAAGACAGTCTCTTGATTTGGTGCTTGGTGTTGGAAGGTCCATCTTGCAGTAGTCACTCATCTTGTGATTGTTCCAGTCTCCATAGTTCAATGTAATCATGTACAAGTTATTTTTGCTGGGTCTTTCGGTGTTCTATACTTCCCGTGTTCTTTTTTTATGGACTGGTGCTGGGTTATGCCAGGTCAGCCACAGTAATGTGGTTTTCTCTGTCTCTGCTGAGTCACTGGGTAAATATTTCTCACTGTTTTTGTCAAATAGACATACATTCCTCAGATAAAACATCTGCTCCTCTCTGGGTCTAACTACACCATCTGGAAGACAGAAAAAAGCTTTCATTTTTTAACTAGGTGGTTATCCAAATGTTTTATTGCTTATGCACATAACCTAATACCTGGGGTAACTGGCAACATGCTGTTTAAATTGGCTACATGCATACTCTTAAGAGAATTATTATAGCTGATGACATATGAAATTAACGGGTGAACCACATGGTTCCACAGTTTTTTTTTCCAGCGGGGAATTCTGCAGAGTATGGTTAAAAGGCACAATGAGTGGGGTGTTGGCCTACTGTTTGGGAAGAGAATCCTGCAGGGAATAAAGTACAGAATAGGGAATGGAGGCCTCAGAGATACAATTACTAAAGGTTTTATTTCTTTGGAGTAATTTCTGAATTGCATGACTGGGAAATTAAAGACAGGTCTGAATTTTATACTGAACATTGTATAAGTTGGATCTGGATTCCATTGTACCCATTTTTTTTCTTTTACACATTATTTGACTTATTTGTCGTTGTATAATCTGTACATTCATTCAAACTTAATCTGGCAAAATGACTAATGGCCTATGTGCTATAAATTTTCGATCTGCTTCCCTGTAGCTAGTCTGGGCCACCACCAATCGATTGGGGTGTGCGGTGCACGTTTGCTCTCAGATGAATGTCTGGGGTGAGATTTGGAAGAACGCTGTCTACCTGGTCTGCAATTATTCGCCAAAGTAAGAGAATTTATGGTTTAGACTTTTCTGTAGTGCTAAATCTCCTACACTGTGCTGTTATTTATGGCATTGATAGTTGACCAGAATTAATTAAATAAAAATGTCAAGATAATTCTTGATTTCATTTATACATTTTATCCTTAAAGTAGTGACGTGTAATCAGAGTTGGGCACATCTTTGTCTTACTCTCAGGGGGAACTGGATTGGAGAAGCCCCTTATAAACATGGCCACCCATGCTCGCAATGCCCACCCAGCTTTGGGGGTGGCTGTCTAGAAAATCTCTGCCGCAAAAGTGAGTAGAGTGGTATGAAAGATGAGCGGCCATCATAGAATTCATTGATCTGAAACCGCATCTACTTATTGTACCTTATGCAGATAAGCAGATGGCATGGAAGCACAATCTTTCCTCATTAATTAAGTGGTTGACTGTATTTCTTTGTCTATGTCTTAATGCCCATGTCTTGAAACATCATGGCTATATGTCTCATTATTCTGTTTATTAATTTTTCACTTGCACTATGACCAATAACAGAGATTTCACTTCAGTGTATGACCCATGCATTATGAATCTGAAATTCACAATAAAAGATGCTTTGATTTTTGACATAGACATTTGATTGTGGCATGTGGTATCTGAACAATCTGACTGAATCTATGTATGATATTTCTGTGTATGGACTTATACAATTCTGTGTGGGGCTCATATTATTGGGTGCTACTTGCTTTTGTTATCCACACAGTGATAGTATTCCTCTTCTCAGAGCCATATCACCCAGAGTCTGAGAACCTGAATGAGGTAGAGAAGCTCCAGGTGTCAGTCCAAACCCGGACGACCCCCATCAAACTTGGCCCCAAACCCAGTGATAGGGGGCCCTCTGTGGTAAAGAAAACGACATCAGACAGGTCCTCATCCCACAGGACAGCCTCAGCATTGAAGAAGACATCCACACCCAAACGTACAGAGAGCACCTTCCTAAGTAAGTAAAAGGGAGGAGCTCTTTAAAATCAATAGATCTTAAGCAGTGGAATGTAATAAATAAACTGTTAAACACACAAACTGGCTGATTGTTAGCTTGTCATCCAAGCAGTAGTCTGTCTATCCAGAATCTGTCTTCGCTGACCATGTGTTAAGCTGCAGTAGCCATGTATACTCAAACATCCATCCATCCATCTTCTGCCACTTATCTGGTGTTGGGTTGCGGGGCCAACAGTCTAAGTAGGGATGCCTGGACCTCCCTCTCCCCAACCAGCTCCACAGTGGGAATACCAAAAAACGTTCCCAGGCCAGCCAAGAGAGAGAATCTCTCCAGGGTGTACTGGGTCTGCCCAGGGGTCGTCTCCTAGCTGAACGTGCCATAAGCCCTTCCCTAGGCAGGTGTACTCAAAAATTAAAAAGTAATTGAATGTTTCTCTTGATTACAGCACAAAATATCAACTGTGAGACAAAAATGCGAGACAGATGCAAGGGAATAACATGCCACAGGTCAGTATGTCTATCTAGAATCTTCTGGTGACCTTGATATTATTTGGTGACTAATCTCAACATTACAGGTACAGGTGTCCTGCCAACTGCCAGAACAAAAGAGGTAGCGTGTGGGGTTCAACCTTCTACGATGTGGTGAGCCAGTTGTAGTACCTTTAAAAATCACATGACACCTAGAAAGAAAGGAACATGTAACACTGTGTAAGATGCTGTTTTGGGTTTTCCCCAGAAATCAAGTATCTGCCGAGCTGCGTTGCATAGTGGGGTGATGGATTCCAGTGGTGGCCTAGTAGATGTCACACGGAAAGGCAAGCTCCCGTTCTTTGTCAAGGCATGGAAGAATGGAGTAGAGTCTTTGAGGTAGACACCTTACAGTTCGTGTACCATTGTAGAATGTTGATGCATATAGACTTCATTCAACATAAGTTTTATTTATGCACAATTCAATGAGAGACTGACAGAAGAATTATTCTATGGATTTTTTGCTGAATACTTATTGACATGCTTTAAGTACACTAGACAAAATTCTTTCTTCTCTTTTTCAGCAATTACAGAGCAGGAAATGCATTTGCTGTAGCAAAAGTGAAAGGTATTGAGTCCATGATATAATTTTGTTTAAATGTGTCTTTTTTTTGATTGATATTGCATGGAAAAAAGTACATGACTACAGTCTTGTTTTTTTGCCCAAAGAGCAGTCAGTTGACTGCTATACCACTGTGGCTGAGATCTGCCCTTTCAAAAAGCCAGCCTCCACCTGCCCAAGGTAGATGGCCCTGTTCCCTGGTCGCTCTCATGCTTGCACAATTAGCTCTTGTTTGCTCAGAGCTGGCATAACCTAGACCAGTGGTTCTCAACCTTTTTGCACCATGACCCAGTTTTTACCATGCCAGCTCAGTTGAGACCCTGCGGTCCCTGCTTTGCACAGTTTATGCCAATCAATGGCTATATTACAAAGCCTGATTGGATGTGTCAGTGATTTTTTTTAATTAAGCATCTGTGGTTTGGCTTCTTGGATTGGTTGAGTGCTCACTAATTTTGCACTAACAGTTGCAGACCCAAAAAGACCCACTTATATAAGTTAATTCTGGGACTGGGGCTAGGAAATCTGATTGGGGATCCGCATAGGAGCTTGCTGGTATTAAAATGCTTACATTTCCAATTCTGCCTCACAACCCATTCAGAAGTTACTGCAACACAAATTAGCATTGTGACCCACGGGTTGAGAGTCTCTGACCTAGACCACCACATTCAAGTCACAGTCTCTGACAGATGGTTGTCTATCACCAGACCTATTTCAAATTCCCAAAGATACTTTCACACCTATAATAAAAGTACTACCAGAATAGCTTGGAAGATATATTAGTAGGTACTATGCATGCATCTAACCAAACCTTTGTGATGGTTTAATAGCCATATTTTCTGTTTATTGTTGTATATGTCTTTACATGCTGTATCACACACATTCCATACTTTTCCTCAGAGTCTTCTGCTCATCCAGCTGCAAGAATGAGCCATCTTATTGGGCCCCGGTGATTGGGAACAACATCTACACAGATGTAAGGACCTGGTCTTAGCAGAACTCAGTTGTCTCCAAGCTATTGAAACAGCCAGTGGAGAAGAATTGGACCTCATATCCGCGAGCAGTCATTAGTAACTTTTGTGTAATGTTACTACACAAAACTGTGATGCCACAGTTGTTAAATATGATGTGACTCACAACTCTTGACAACCTTCATGGAAATTAAGTTAATCGGGAGGTTAGTGGTTGGGCACTTTGTTCCTAGGATATTTGTTAATCCACCAATTGGCTTAACCAGGAAAAAGGCAGGTAAGTTCCTGATGGAAATCATGATTGGTGTAAATCTTGAATTGCAGTTCATCAAGCTAGATACTGGACCACATATTTTAAAACATTCAGTCCCTCAAGCCTACTGCCCTTTTCTTTATTTCAAAATTCCCGGCTCTCAGGAGACCTAACAGATTCTCAGTATGTGCTGTTAGGAGCATTCACACACATCACTCCGCATCTGTGTCTGAGGACCTTGGTTAGGGTTGTTCAGGACTGCACTGGGTAGCACCAGGTTACTGTAGTCTTGATTCAAAGCAAGTCTATGAAGGAATAGTTTGGCACAATAGTCAGTTATAGACAATAAGAACATCAGCTAGTGGTAATTGCAGTCAGACAAATCAGAGACAATGAGAATGTTTTAATGCATTCTGATATAATCTCAGTGGATTAGATTTGGGTGTCATTAATACACTCAGATCAAAATGAATGTAAATAAGTGCTATGCTTATCTCAGTATAGTATGAATCCTACTTATTGTTTTTTTTTTTTTTATTACTTGGGATCAAAATTGGAATAGTTAGTCAGTGGAATAAGCAATGTATATCAAAACTTGTAAGCTTATATGTTGCTTTCCTGGGTTATTGAATTTTTTTCCTGTTCTTCCTTAGAATTCCAGTATCTGCCGTGCTGCAATCCATCTTGGAGTGATGAGATCCAGTGGGGGATATGTGGATGTCTTGCCCCTGGACAAAAGGAGCCGTTATGTTGGAACACTGAAAAATGGCATCCGGTCTGAAAGGTGCACTCTCAGTATTTTTAGTTATCGCTGTTTACTGTAGAGAGCATCTCCTTGGTGGTCAGGCCTTGTGGTCAAATTGAAGACCCAGTACACCAAGGGTCAATTACTTGGAAAGAAACTTTGCATACTTATGAATTATTGCACAGATTAATGTTTGGAGGGACCACATGATCTGTATGACATGCTGGGACATCTATTGGAAAAACAATAAGGGCAAATTCAGCTCCAGTGAAATGAAATGTATTGTTGAGGTCCATGCTAAAATCCACAGTTTGGCAGCTTAATCCTCTCCTAATGAAGATGAAATGTTACCATTGGACTGGGATTTAGTTATAGAAGAATCAATGATAAGTTGTTTGTCCTTCATAAATCAAATGGCTCAGAAAAGGGAGATGACCAAAGCTTATGTGAACTGATGAACCACCCAAGTTGAAAAGCCTTTAATTGACATGGCTATAATTATCAGTGGTGTGCAGATTGACATTTTGATAGTAATTGGATAGTCAGTATTGGCATATTATACTAGCTGAATTGATATTAGGTGGTATTAGAGTGACATCATCCAAACATATTATTAAAATAGCAACATTACGAAACATTATCAAACCACTGTTTAGCTTTGGGTTTCAAATTCAAACTTTGTGACCCATTGTGCAACTTGTGTGGCAGGTTCACCATGTCAGATCTTAATCGCACAATTAGCTTTGCCAGCTAAAACAGTACAGTGGATTTTTACAGCAAAAGACTATCAGCTCGTTGTTGCTTTAGGGTGATGGAATATAAGTGTGCATGATATCGTACCTATTTGAAGATGTTTTTCCCTTTCAGCAAAAAGGACCATGAAGGATGCTCTTTCCGTGTCTTTGCTGTGAAGCAGTGAAATGTAATGACAAGAGGAAACCTTTTCTGTTTCGGGGACAAACAATATGTCCTCTTCCACACCACAGAATCAAGCATCTAGCCTCAAAGGATCTGATTAGCATCTTACCACTAATTAGACTCCCCTGACAGGGTTTACCCTTCTCTCCCTAAGTTTCACATTCAGTATCTAAGGGTGAAGAAATTCTTCACCACATCCAGCTGTCACATACACAATGGCCAAAATTGAAGAAACACCTAGCATTTTTGGCATTAAGCTTTAAAAATTACTACACGAATATCGGTGGTAATATTTATAAACAATCAAAGAATGTTACAAATATGCATTGAGTAATTAAATAAGTGGAGTAACTGGAATGAAGTTCTTCAATCTCTAAATATTATAAGTGTTTCCACAGTTTTGGCCGCTAGTGAACATGTCATAATGTAAAGCACTGAATTGCAAAATGCCAGTGTTTCAAAACATAAAACTTTATCATATATTTATAAATTAAAATTTTTGAAATTTGCTAAGATGGGGAGAAGGGGACCTGGAACCCTTGGAGATTCTGTGATAGGAAATGGATGAGCATATTATGTCATTTCTTAAAATAATTTAATGTTAAAAAGGTTAATGTAGTAAGTCATGTAATGAGATCCAAACTTGAGTTCATGTCCAGTTTACTCCTATGGTGGCACTCCATTTGCTTATGTCTCTGTTGTTTAACGTCCTATCCCTGTTGATCGTCACGGTTTTTGTAAAGTTTATATTCATCTCAGGCTGTTTCAGTGTTGTGTCATTACCTGCCTTACTTGCACATTGCTTTGGACAAATGTGTCTGTTACACAAATAAATGTAAATGCATTCATTTCTACAGAGATTTTCTTTTTGTCAAAAAAGATCTGTTTCATTAACGGTCATTTTGATGACATTGTTCAATTTTTCTCCCCCTTTTTTTTTCTCTGAAAAGAAACTGAAATTTATTTATACAGTCAGACCTACTACAACGGGATTAATGCATTCCTGAAAAACCTAGTGTTGGCTAAAATTCTGTACTAAAATACACATATCCAATGAGAAAAACAGGATTAGGGGAATGCAACTCCAAAACTTGGTAAGTTAGGCCAAACGAAATTAAATATAATTTAAATAATTAAATAAAAAGACTAGTGGCCAATAATGTAATTATATGCATTTAAAATGTTGTTAATAATTATAATAATGCATTAACAAATTAGAGATTCTGGTCCACCATCCAGTGGCTCAGGGCGGGAAAGCGGTGCAGCATCAACACTGTTTATGGTGGGGATGGGGCACTGCTGACTTCAACTCGGGACGTTGTGGGTCGGTGGGGGGAGTACTTCGAAGACCTCCTCAATCCCACCGACACACCTTCCAACGAGGAAACAGAGTCTGGGGACTTGGGGGTGGACTCCCCTATCTCTGGGGTGGAGGTCACTGAGCTGATTAAAAAGCTCCTCAGTGGCCGGGCCCCGGGGGTGGATGAGATCCGCCCGGAGTTCCTCAAGGCTCTGGATGCTGTGGGGCTGTCCTGGATGACATGCATCTGCAGCATCGTGTGGACATCGGGGGCAGTGCCTCTGAACTGGCAGACCGGGGTGGTGGTCCTTCTCTTTAAGAAGAGCACACCCTCTGGTCCCCCTAACTATAGGGGGATCACACTCCTCAGCCTCCCTGGTATGGTCTATTCGGGGGTCCTGGAGAGGAGGGTCTGTCAGATTGTCGAACCTCGGATTCAGGAGGAGCAGTGTGGTTTTCGCCCTGGCCATGGAACAGTGGACCAGCTCTATACTCTCAGCAGGGTCCTGGAGGGTGCATGGGAGTTTGCCCAACCAGTCTACATGTGCTTTGTGGACTTGGAGAAGGCTTTCGACCGTGTCCCGTGGGGAGTGCTCCAGGAGTATGGGGTGCCGGACCTCCTCATAAGGGCTGTTCGGTCCCTGTATGACTGGTGTCAGAGCTTGGTCCGCATTGTCGGCAGTAAGTCGGACTCCGCCGGGGCTGCCCTTTGTCACCAATTCTGTTCATAACTTTTATGGACAGAATTTCTAGGCACAGCCAGGGCGATGAGGGTGTCTGGTTTGGTGACCTCAGGATTGGGTCTCTGCTTTTTGCAGATGATATGGTTCTGTTGGCTTCGTCAGACCATGACCTTCGGCTCTCACTGGAGCAGTTCACAGCCGAGCATGAAGCGGCTGGGATGAGAATCAGCACCTCCAAATCTGAGACTATGGTCCTCAGCCAGAAAAGGGTAGATCGACAGGCTGATATGGGCACTGCATCGGTCTGTCATGGTGAAGAAGGAGCTGAGCCAAAAGGCAAAGCTATCGATTTACCAGTCCATCTACATTCCTACCCTCACCTATGGTCATGAGCTGTGGGTAGTGACCGAAAGAACGAGATCGCAAATACAACCAGCCAGAATGAGTTTCCTCCGCAGGGTGGCTGTGCTCTTCCTTAGAGAGGGTGAGAAGCTCGGTCATTCGGGAGAGACTCAGAGCAGATGCGCTGCTCCTCCGCATAGAGAGGAGCCAGATGAGGTGGCTCGGGCATCTGCTCAGGATGCCTCCTGGATGCCTCCCTGGTGAGGTGTTCCGGGCAAGCCCCACTGGAAGGAGGCCACGGGGAAGGACATACTGGAGAGACTCTCGGCTGGCCTGGGAACGCCTCGGGATTCCCCCAGAGGAGCTGGATGAAGTGGCTGGGGAGAGGGAAGTCTGGGTTTCCCTGTTTAGACTGCTGCCCCCGCAACCCGACACGGACAAGCGGTAGAGGATGGATGGATGGCATTAACAAATTATATCATAAACATTTCCTATATTAATCTTAAGAGCCTCATGAGAATTGCCTAGTAACTGCTTTGACAGAACCTGTCGAACTCGCTAACTTGTTGATTACCAGGAGTCGGGAGTAGTGATGGCCAAAATGACGTTTCATGAACCATTTACTGTATTTTCTGACCCCCACTTGATGGCGCTTTTGGATTACTTTGGAACATGCTTTGAGCTGCTCTATGAACAGAGAGCACCATCTAGTGGAATCACAAAATATATCTAATGGTTCGTGAACGCTCATTCTGGCCGTCGTTAGTCAGTAATGAGCCTCAGCTATCATGCAGCTGGGCACGCACACAGCAGAAATACAACAAATTACAGTATGCGGAGGGCCACCGAAGGCAGCATGGCTAGACAGTACTTAAAACAAATGCAAGTGAATTTAAAAACGTTGCTGTATTTATATATGATCGTTTGTCGAATATTTTTAGATCTATGACTTCAACCTGTGCAATGTGTGGATGTACAAAAAGTTAGATTCTTTTGTATTTGAAAACCGGTTCCAACAATTCACTGAAAAGAACCAGAACGATTCGTTCACCAGTCGTACATCACTATTGTTCACGCATGGCTGTTTTGAATGCAAGTAGGCTGACTGCCTGTCTCTGACTGAAAATACAAATACAAATGCGATTTCGCGTTGTGCACACTCAGAAAAAAGGGTAACATGATTATCACTTTTGCTTTTCACTGGTGCTGTACCCCCAAGGATCTGCTAATTGTGCCATTAACTGAGGGATTAGTGTACCCTTTGAGGTACATAAATGGACTCATTGATGGTACAGTCATGCTGTTTGTACCTTTGGGATGTTCCTGGAAGCCCGTTTCTGTACGTTAAAAGGTACAATTACATGGGTACAGCCCCAATGATGAGCAAAGCTACAAATATTTACACCTTTTCTGAGAGTTTACTGGACTTGGCGTTACATCCAGGGTTTACCCCAGATTTTCACTCTGCACGGAAGTGATCCGTGGGCAGGGTTGCTAACTTTGGTCAGTTGACTCTTGCGAGATTTAAAATTCCAGAGAAGTCTGTAGGGTTTTCAAACTACCCCAGCACTTTTGATGCTGCTAATTTTAAGTTTATAATGGAATAATATACATTTGCCATAAGATTTCTTGCGTAAGCAGGAGTGTCACGCCACATGCATGAGAGTTGGCAGCCCTGTTCTTGGGTGGATGGAGTGCAATCCTCTCACGCCCAGAATCAAGTATCCTTGATTATGCGTTTGCATTTTATGTAATTGTCATGTATTCCTGAAATTAACCGTACAGTACTCACTTAAGGATAGATTCTGAATTTTCACACTAAGTGACAATAATCTTACCATTATAATTTAACAAGACAGACGGCAGTGCAGGAAATGGTCAGATGTGGAACACAACTCAAAACAGTTGTCAAACATTATAAATTTGCTTGTTATAAATATTTGGAATTTGATAATAAATATTAACCATTGTGGGAATGTTTGCATATTGAAATGATTTTAACTTTAAGATTTTACTTTGCATTAGTTTCCCATGTACCTGAATTAGAGTGGCATGAAACTAATCAACCGCTCACAAGTGAAGTCTGTTGATTGGCCAGACAATCCCACTGTTTGAATATTTTTAATTCTAGGTTTTAATTGGACAGATTTCCAGGATGTTGCACCTCATTCCTGGCAGTCAGGGAGCTGCCATAACTTTCAGGAGAGATAGGATGTCTGCTTTCTATTAAGTCTGACAATTCAGTGAGGTAACACGGAAACTTCACTCCAGGGGCACTGTGCTGTTGAAAACTTTGGATACCCCACAATACAAAATGACCAAAATGCAAGACTTATTCTAACATGCATTTATCTTGTGAATCAATATAAGGAAAAAAATTGCTGCTGTACTTTGTGGTTATAACTGGTGAGTGACATCCACAAAGCAAAAGGCGTTTTTTTATTATTTGGGTCTGAGGTTGACATTATAAAAAATCACTTTCTGAAATGAGCCTGAAGTTGGGCTTGTGAACTGTTGCTAGTTTTCATTTGGCTGGCTTGCTAGGTTCACTTCTACTCCAGTCCCTCCCCTCCCTCATACATCCATATGTGCTGGGAGTGTTGTATCCCAGGTCTTTTTGGCTGTTGCCCTTACTAAACAAAACGACCTTTCTCATCCATGGTGGACTGTTTGACCTGAGGTTTTTATTTGGGGAGCAGACAGATGCATAGGTTTTTACTAGGTCTGGTGTTGTAGCCAACAGTGAAAGTACAAGCCAATGGTGGGAGATGGGCGTGCAGATACTGACAAGCAAGCATTTTCACACCATTGAGGAAAAGAAAGGCATAAATTGGTGGGTCTAAGGGGAGTTGACAAATGGAGGTGTAAATTTCTTTTCTTTTTTAACTTTTAGATTACATTTATGTGCTAGTATACCACAAAAAGTTAATTTTTAAGTTATGTCAGTGGTTACCAAAATTTGCTACATTTCAGTTTTCAATTTTTTTGTTCAACACCTCACATTAATTGTCCTATGGTGTGATATTACATTTGGAATATATTCTGTAAAAATAGGCGCCCTTTTTAGCATATCCACACACAGATTTCACTTATGGTATATATATATATATATATAATATAAAAATATGCGTATAATGTAGATGTGTCACTACTGGCTACAAAAAAGTGGACACATCAAGAGGTTCACATGCAACTCACATTTTCAGATTAGTTGGAGAAGGACACTCACTTTTTGAGCTACAAAACTGCTTTTCATTGTCTGACAGACTTCCTGGTGATGGTCTGACCCTATGTGTGCTAAATAAAATGCATCACACGGATTGTATAAAATATAATCAACTGCAATAAATTTATCTTTAATGATATCAAAGTGTGACTTAGAAAATATAACTCCCATGAAAGAATGTCAGATGATTTTTTATTCTATTTTTAGAATTAATTTTATTGATGTTTATGTTTCCAAAACCAAAACCAAATTTGTTTTGACCACATAACTAGCTAGCATTTTACTATTTTTTGTTTT